CCTTTCAAACGGACAGGTTGAGTCGAGTTTGGGTTGAATCAACTCAGGTGACAAGTTATATGAATTGGGTCATAAACAAGTTATAAGTTGAAAAAATCCAACCCTAATGAATTATGGGTAACGGATTATGGGTTAAGTTATAAGTTGATATTATTTTCATTCTTTATAATTTTTTTTATTAATTTTTTTATATACAAATAAATTTATATATATTTAAATCTAATTAAAATATTATAACTCATTGATACCAAGTATTTTATAGCCTTAACCATAAATATTTAAATTAAAAAAATTATAAAGTTATAAATAATAATAAGTTGATTAACAATATTAAACTTAAAAAATATAAATTTCTTGAAAAATAAAATTTTAATTTTACAATTATCTTGAAACATTACCAAGGAGTTTAAGTCTATTTTTTTATGATGAAATTGTTCTTCCAAAAATATCTTTCACTAAATTATTATGTTTATATCATAATATCATATATTTAATATTTTTAGTTGCATTATCATTTAATTCATGATGTTTGGTAATTAGATCAAACTTACATAATTTCTAGAGAAATAAAAAATTATGATGAGTAAACACTCAAAATAAATTCAAAACCATTTGAGTAAGGGAAATGGGATTGAAAAGTAATAATTAATGAAAAGTAATAATTAATGAAAAGAGTTACCAATAAAAAAATTAATTAAAAATAATAAATATAATATTTTTAAAAATAATAATAATAAATAAAATAAACGAATCAACCCATCAACTTGTGGATTGATCTTAACTCGACCTATAACCCGTACGAATTGATATTACAAATTATTTACGAGTTATGAATTAAAATATATAAACCATAACTCATTTTTTACATGTTGAATTAGGTATTTTTTACGAATTCAGTTAAGATCAGGTCAAGTGAATTTTTGCCACTCCTATTGAACCGAGATTGACAACTTTGGTTTTTGCTCGATTAAACGTTTTCTCCTCCTTCCTATTTTATTTTACGTACTCCATCAATTTATTTTTCTAATTAAGTATTTTTGGATACTAACTATGGTTTTCAAAAATTAGACTGTAATTTAAAATCAAATTGTGTTAAATACTAAAAAAAAAAATTCTTTTAATATTTATTTTTTATTTATAATATTTAAATTTAAAATTTTATTTTAAAAAAACCAAACTTTTTTTATTTAAATTAATATGTAATCGGTTTCCAATTAAGTATTGATTAGATATTTTAGGCCTTTAATTATTTTTGGGCCTTTAATTGATAATTGTATTTTTATATATTGAGTTAATTTTTACTATCTTAAAATTTTTTTGAGTGATTTATTTACTAATAATAAATTTAATTTTTGGAGTTATATAAAAATATATATTTGAAATGATGCTTAATATTTTTTATATTTAATATGTATTGTATTAATAACAAAATTAATATTCATGGATAATTATGCTTAAATAGACAAGTAGTGCTTTGATCAATTGAGTCTTTGTTTTGGGTGGATATTACAAGCCCATGCGCAATAGGCACGATGATTTGTGTGGGAGGAGAAGCAAAGCATGGATACCATGTGGAAGCATCAGTGAATCAAATTCAAAAGGATTTTTAATGACTCACTTGTGTGGTCACCGTCACCCATGATCCCAAGAAATTGTGCTAGTCGGCAACTTTTCTGCCCAAAAGACCTCCTTGTTAATTAAGTGGAGAGTACGTCCAACCCAACCTGTTATGCATCATCTGAAATTTCTTTGTTAATATTCAAGATGGGATCACAGTCACAAACAAGTAACAACCATAATTATTCTCTATTAAAGAACTTAATTTGGCACATTGTGTTGGAGAGGAGTGTCCACAATTCTCTAGGTATGAGGAGCCACTTGACCGTGCCCAACTGCCAAATGGAGTGATGGACAGTGGTCCTCAGCCTGGAGCCGCCTACCCTAATCACCACTCACCATGTGAATCCTCATGCGACATGTGGGTTCACCACAAGCATCCAATTAATTTCCGGAACACTCACCACAGCTGCCACCGGCTCTTCCGCGTCATCGACGAAAACAAAGTCAAGAGAAAGGAAATGGTTGTTGACACAAATGAGAGTTGCTTTTTTTTTTTTTTTAAAAAAAAGTATACAATTTTAGAGGATAATAGATTTTTTTTGTAATGTTAATAAAATTTAAAATTTTCGATCAACTAATCTAAATATTTTAAAGTTTGAGAACAAATTATTTGGATCCGAAAATTTAGTTCACACAAATGAAGTTGTTAAGAATATTAAATTTATTATTTTTTATTTAAGTTTCTAAATTTTTATATCTGACTTTGTGACAATACACGTCATACTTTTAATGTTTTTTTTTAACAAATTTACTTTGTGATAATAACCATTTTTAAGAACACTTTTTTAAATACAATTAATAACTTAGTGTTAATAATTGTTACACAATCAATTTGAATAAATAGTGTAGATAGATATTTTCGAAAGGGCATCCTTCCACATGATGCATTTGGTCGCGCGTCCTCGTACTTCGAGCCGATTTAAAACAAAGACGCTCTTAAAAATGTTACTACACTGCAGGATTAAAGCAAATTAAAGAGGGAAAATTGTTGATTAATTTTACTTTTAGTGTAAAAGATCTTTTTTTTAGTGTAGATTATTATTTTTTTTGTGCAGTTTGAGTTCTAAAATTATTAAAAATGTTACTAATAAATAAATATAAAAAATAATTTTATTAGAAATATTTTAATAATTTTAATTAAAAAAGAAAAAAGAAACCATCCACACTGAAAATCACATTTTTTGGCTTATTTAATTCATACATGCCTACACTTCACTCCCAAGGACGACTCAGCTGCACTTCCTCCGCTCTTATCTTCTCACTCCCCTTCATGTAAATCCCTTCCCCTGTTTCCCCTGTACAGTGTACACTCACTTCATCCAAATTCTTAGAGGAAATCTCTTTTCTATCTCTTTGATCAGATGGTACTTGAAGCATTGGATTCTCCAAGCTCAGCTCCTCCTCTGCTCCACCACGACGACGTAGACCTTCGATGTCTTGAGCCATGGGAGAAGAAAAAGCGGTCCAAACGTCCTCGTATAGAAAACCCACCTACTGAAGAAGAGTACCTAGCTCTCTGCCTCCTCATGCTGGCTCGAAGCACCGACCACAACTCTCCGCCGCCACCGCCGATGCTTGAGCTCAGTTACAATTGTTCTATCTGTCACAAAACATTTTCATCTTATCAAGCTCTGGGTGGACACAAGGCCAGTCACCGGAAACTCATCGGAGCTGACGAACAACCCACCAACTTCTCAACAACGCCTTCATCAGATGGGACTTCAGTTAATTCAAGTGGCAAAACCCATTCGTGTTCTATCTGTTACAGAACATTTTCCTCCGGTCAAGCCCTGGGCGGACACAAACGGTGTCACTAGGACGGTGGCGACGGCGTTTGCTCAGCCGGAGGCACGAATTCGAGTCCAAGTCAGTGTGATTTTTTGACTTGAATTTGCCAGCCTCACCGGAACCAAAAGCTGGCCTAGTAGACTAGAATTGGAAATTTTTAAAATTTTTATTTTATTAGAATTTTCTCTTTATGCCTTCGAAATTTTTATTGTAAAATTTTTGTTTTCAAGAGTTATGTTATTCATTATTTTAATTTTCAGATAATTACAGCAAATTTATTACGGATTCTTTTCAAAAATATGTTTGTTGTATTTTTGTTCTTTATTTGAACTTAATTTTAGTTATTTTTTTAAAAAAGCAATAGTTAAAGATGATAATATGTTAAAAGGATTAGTGCATAAAAATAATATTAAATCTAAAATATGGGATGCAAATCATAAGCTGCCCCTAAAAAGCAGCAGGTGGCAATTGGGCCACGCACGTGTAATGCCAATTTTAGTTACTTATGTGTAAGAGATTTGTGCTTGGACTTAGCTTGGTTGTATGTAGGAAGGAAATTTCTTGGATTTTATTATTATTATTTTTTTCTACGATCTTAGTGGTCAAGAGAGTGGCCTTTAAAAAACTGTCATTTTTGTATCACTTCCATTTTTTTTTTCAAGTTACTATTAAGTTGCCACGTAGAAACCTCAATCACTTGATTATCTTCTTTTAATTTTTATCTATTGTTTTTTAAAAGCTTTAGTGTTTGAACTTTTACCTTGATTAATTTAAGGGTTAAATACTCAGTTACGTCTCTCAATTTTTATTTTTAAATCAAATCTATCTTTAAATTTTAAAAATATTAAAATTATTTTTAAACTTTAATATTTGGGACCAATTTAATCTTTTAACCCGATAATATATTAAATCGCTATAAAATCAATTATTGTTTTAAATATTTAGTTACGTGAAAAATAACTTACCTATTATACGTTAGATTTCCATTACATTCACCCTTCCCTTTAAGTGGGATCCACCTAAAATATTTCAATATTTTCTAGAGTTTTGGTCAACAAAGATGAAACTTTCTTCCTTCCCTTTCTTTTTTTTGAGGGAAAGGAAATTTTCCTTCCCTTTCTTTATCTGATCTCAAACCCGACCACTTGCAAACCTACAATTTGCTTCAGGCATAAATCTCAATCAAATCTCTTCAATTTAGTCTAGAAAGCTGGTTCACATGAACCATTACACTGGGCAAAAGAACCCAAAAGAACCAATTTGTTTCTTCCTTATTTAACCCCTTTTCGTCTTTCCTTTGGGTTCGGTCATGCCTTCTGTAATAATGGTGAAGGTTGGAATTAAACCTTATTTATGCTCATAAATCCTTTACTGTCATTCATATTCACGCTCACCGTTGCACATCCAACACAAGAACAAAAATGAGAAAAATTCATGATTTTTTTTTCAAATCTTAGTTGCAGATCTAGCTTGATTTTGCCAATCTACAGAATAAGAGAGGGATTCAACCAAACATTTAGAATGACATAAAAAGTATAGGCAGAAAGATGGAAAAAAAATCATTTGAAACCTGAAAAATTCAAGACTTCTTTTTCTGTTT